GGGGTTTCTCCGTTCTGGCCCACCCCGAGCTGCGCTGCGGTGGACGGTCTGCGGGAGCCCCGCCCCGCCCCCGCGTGTCGGCGCCCTGCCCGGCGGTGACCCCGCCTGCCGCTGCCGCTCGGGGCTGGTTTACTCTGGCCGGGCGCTACCCCTGCGCCGGCGGTTTGGGGTTTGTCTAGCGTGCTGTTGTCCAGGTGATGCCAAAGCACCGCCCTTTCCGACCCGGTCCGGCGCGGATTCTCGTGGTTAGTGGGTCCAACCCCGCCACGCTCTCCAGGAGCGCAGAGGCTGAGTCACATTTCAAGTAGAGCGAAGAGTCTGATTTCAGTTCCTCGGTGTCGTTTTTCGGTTCGCTGCACACAGACGCCTGTCCTCGCACCCTCTCGGTGGCTGCCGCGGAGCTTTCCTCTCGGGGTTTCCTTGAAGTCTGTCTCAGAGCCTTGTGCGTCAGAAGGGCAAACTCTCAGCCCCGCGTGGATCCCCCCCCCCCATCCACCCCGAGGGCATGTGGAAGGCATCAGCAAATATTCACTATCCACCTTAGCTGCCCTCCTTTTGGATTTTTGTTCAGAAAGCTGGAAAAACAGTAAGAGATCACGCTTACAATTCCGTCCCTTCTTTAACCCTGCTTCAACCGGACTCTTAACATCATGACACCCAACACAGTTATCACTTAACTCATACTTGAGTACCTACTATGTGGATTGGAGTCCTCTGGGCTGATCCATTCGACTTTTGAATTACCTTAAATTTTTGTAACTTGTAAGCCTGCTAAGGGTTACAGATACATTTACAGATTAGTTATTGAGGCTTGCAAGCATTGTTCTAAGTGCTTCACAAATATAGACTTATTTACTGCTAACTATTGTGGGAGGTAGGCACTTTTTCTTTTAATCCTCACTGGAGGATACTTTTCCCATTGTTTTTCAGAGTGGAAGGGAGAGAGAGAGAAGAGAAACATGGATTGGTTGCCTCTAGCACACGCCCTGAGCCGAGGTACTTGCCCTTGCCGGCAATCGAACTGGGATCCTTCGGTCCTCAGTCCAACTCTCTAACCACTGAGCCAAACCCACCAGGGCCATTTTTTATTTTTATTTTTATTTTTTTTAGAGGAGAGAAGTGATGCTCAGGTTAATTAACTTGCTCTAGGTCACATAGTAAGTAGTGGACCCAGGATTTGAACCCAGGCTCTTAACCTGTCTTCAGAAAGAGGATGTAAAGATGGGTAGGGAATTTCCTTTATAGAATGTGATTTTAGACTTCTCTATTCAAGAAGCACCTACTCTGAGAATATTTATTCTGGACAAAGCCCTATGATGAGAAGAGCATGCTTTTTAGTATCCCATCATGTGTCAATACATTCTGAATTTGAATTTTTGGAAAAGCCAGTTTACTAGTAAAATATTAGATATCAATTATTGTTCTAGAGTACAATGCCTTGATATTTGGCTCTTCTGACAAATCAAGATTTTAGTTTTTGTCACTGCCTCATAGAGAAATATATAGGATAGTGGTGAGCAATTTAGCCAGTAAAGAAGAAAAAAAACACATTGTAACTATTATCAAGACATTTGGAGTTGGATGACTTGTCCAGGGTTCCCAGCTGTGGTGTTTGTACACATAAGACTTGAAAACAGGAACAAAATGAGGTTGCCTCTTTCCTTTCAGGTAGATCCCTGAAACTGAAAGCCATTTTGAACCCTGCCTTTTGTTCACTAAATCCTGTGATTCCAAACCCTAAATCTTGACGTTACCTTCTCAAATGGCTGCTTTCTTGCTTGCTACCTGGGATGAGTAGCCTAATTCCTAATTTCATCAAGTTCTTCAGATTTTTAATTTTTTTGTAATCCCTTGCTTTTCAGAGAGAGAAGAAGGGAGAGAGAGAGAAACATTGATGTGAGAGACACACACATGGATTGGTTGCCTCCTGCACGGCCTGGACCAGGCCAGGGAGAGAGCCTGCAATCGAGGTACTACCCTTAACTGGACAGAATTAAACCTGAGGCCCTTCAGTCCAAGGGCAGATGTGCTAACCACTGAGCTAAACCGGCTAGGGCAAGCTTTTCAGGTTTTTGAAATGAATTCAAGATAATAAAACTGTTGTGATGGTTTTGGATTGGAGCTTTCCACAAGTGATGACGTGGAAAGAATTATCCACAGGAAGTTACCTTAAGACCCTAGCTAGATCTCAGCTCCAGTTCATAAATGTGGTAAGGTGTGTAAAAGAACAAAAATTCAACTGAATAAATTTGAAGATCTAATTGCCTTTATTAAATTATTCGTGCATCGGGCAGTAGCAACCCATCTAGTAAATAGAAGGAGCTCCAAGGAGTTATACAAAATGGAAGGTTTTTATAGGCAGAAAGAGGGTGGGCCAAGGCGGTTAAGAGAGTGGATTATTTCAGGTAAAGTCACCTTCCTTTGGGGGAAGGCAGAGGGGTCTTTTCAGGCAGCTTACCTCACAATCAGGAAATTGCAGATTGATTGATTTAAAATTCCAGTCCTGGGAGAGAATGAAACTGCAATTAAGTTAGGTATTGAGTGTTGGTGGGGCTTACCACAGTGACTCTGTTTTGGGTCTATTTAACAGGTGCTTCTGGCTTCTATTTCAGCTTGTTGCCTCCTTCTGGTCCTGTATTGGCTCTCTCCGCAGAGGCAGTGAATGGAGAATTCTCCCTAAGGTCAGCTTTTAATTAATTGCCTCGCTCTGGCTGCTGTAGTATTCCAGGCATCGATCTGGACCTATCAGAATTCCCTAGAGATTGCCAGCAGATCGGACCTCGGTCTTCTAGGGACTGCCGGGTGTCGCAGAGTTGAGTGGGACGAGCCTCGTGCAGTTTACTATCTGGGTGGGCTGTGGCCCAAGGAGCGGGACCTACCCGATGACTGGATTGGGCCTTGCCCCTGTCCATCATCTGAAGGCTCTGAGCGCCGACTGTTTTGCAGTAAGATTTGGAAGCTGAGCACCGCCTCTGGAAACGCGGGGAGTGAAGAAAGGTGAGGCTAAACGTTGTGTGTATTCTCCTTCTCATTGGATGGCGACTGTGTCAGTCATACTCTCTGCTGCTCCCGTTGGCGGGAAGGCTCTGGGCTGGTGGCGCGGAGGAGGTGCTGCCCCCTCCCGAGCTGCGATCCAGGCGCGTGACGTCTCAGATATTTGTTGTTGGGGTTTGGGCCTCATTAATTATTCATTAGGTTCTTGAAAGGGCTGCAGCGATTGGTGGATGAGAAGCCTCGTCGATTGTTTCTTAGCTAGAGATACGTGTCACCCTCTACGTTGCTGGAAAAGTTTCGCATAAATTATGCCGATGAGGTGTGGGGCCGAGCTACGCATAGATTAGGCAAATGAGCAGGGGAGGGACGGGAGGCCGGGTACGAATTAGCCTAAGTTATTAAAGATGGCGGCGGAGCGGAGTCGCTCCCCGATGGACTCGCCGGTCCCGGCCTCAATGTTCGCCCCAGAGCCCAGCTCTCCGGGGGCGGCCAGGGCTGCGGCGGCTGCCGCCCGGCTCCACGACGGCTTCGACTCGGACTGCAGCGAGGACGGCGAGGCGCTCAACGGCGAGCCGGAGCTGGACCTCACCAGCAAGGTAGGCCCGGGCGCCGGCGTCGGCGCTAGAAGGGACCTGGCGCCGAGGGAACCGCGCGGCGGGCCGAGTCGTCTCCCGGGCGACGGCGGGGG